CCTTTTGTTGCCGGTGATCCTGGCGTGGTAGGCAGATCCTGTCATGTCCAGGTAGTCACTGAAAAAAAAAAAAACAAAAAACGGCAAGCAGCAGGAGGGTTGGCTGTATTCAGGGCGCCTCTGCCGTAGAAACTTTTCATCTGGCCGACGCAGGGAGCCTCTTTGTCCTGCACCTTCATCTGCGGTGGGTCTCAGGACTGTGCTGGCCGCATGAGATCACCTGGGGAGCTCCCTGAAAATGCCCATCTCTGCACCTCACCCAGGGTCACTGGAATTTTTAACAAGCTCACTGAATGGTTGGGAGGGGAGTGAGATACACTTTACCCTTTCAGACTGCTTAATGTTTACTCTTGTTCATTCCACTAGAATTCCAGCCCCAGGAAGGCAAGGGATTTTTTGCCTGTTATAGTCTCCGCTGTTTTCCTAGTATCTAGAACAGTGCCTGACACATAGTAGGCACTCAATTTTTTTTTTTTGGATGAGTGTGTTTATTTTATTTATTTATTTTTTTTAAGATTTCATTTATTTATTTAACTGACAGAGAGAGAGAGAGAGAGAGAGAGAGAGAGAGAGAGCGTGAGAGGGAACGCAAGCAGGGGGGAGAAACAGGCCTCCGGCTGAGCAGGGAGCCTGGTGCGGGGCTCGATCCCAGGACTCCGGGATCATGACCTGAGCCGAAGGCAGTCACTTAATGAACTGAGCCACCCAGGCGCCCTGAATGAGTTTATTTTAAAAAAAAAGCAGCTCCTCAGGTGATTCTGATGGGCAGGCAGGTTTGAGAAACCTTGCCCTGGAGGACTTACCAGGTTCATTAGGTGAGAAGCCACATTTTTGGGGGATCAGTACCTCACTGGGTGTCTCTGAGTAGTTAAAGTCTGGGCTGGAGTCATGCTTTTGGACAAAACCAGGTGCTGTGAATGGATTGTCTGGCATAGCCTGGGCAGTGACTTTGGCCTTGAATTGTTTGTAGTGTTCTGCTGACCCTGGTGTTTAGTTCATAACAAAGTCATCTGGTATGGAGACTTGAAGACTCTTAGTTTTTGACCCTTGATGATGCTTTTGGAACCTCTTGACTTGGTACCGTTTTTAAAAGTCCAGAAGAGTTTTCTGAAAGTGTCCAGTCCTGTTCTTCACTGTACGCCTAAGTTCAATAGCAAGATGATCGACTCGGCTTGGGTTGGCCACATACAAGCCATATTCCCCATGGGCTCCATTCATAACAGAATGAGCGATTCTTCCCCAGTAGGATGGTTTTGGGGTAGGGGTGACATCTTGGGACAGCCAAATTTGCTCAGTAAATTTCCAAATTAAGTTCTTGAATGGCGGGTGCCTGGAATTTTTAGTATGGTAATGTGGAATCGTGGTGATGGGTCAAGTCTGATTAGTTTCTTTGATAAGGACCCAGTCTATTTAGAGGTTTGTCATTTCGTGTCTATTTTGTCCCATGTTGTGGAGCCTGCTGCTTAGCAGCTGTTGTAATTTTTGTCGCTTGTCTTCTCAATCAACCCTGGTTTTGAATAAATGAAAAGTTGTTTGACTCAGAAAAGACTAATCTACTTTTGGCGGGGGTTTTTAGTTCAGGAAGTTGGATCTTCTGAATAGGAGCAAAGAATACATATCTTTTGCCTTTTAAGAGATGGTTCTTCTTTTCTGAACTATTTTACTGGTCATTCCAAAATAGAATCTTCAGGAAGAGTTGCGAAGTATTAAATAGTGGTCAGTTTGTGAGCTCTTAAAAGTTGCCAGCTGGTGCTATCTGTTTGATGTTGTCGTCTTCAAACTTACAAGCCATTCCATTTCACACATCTTTAATAGAGCCAGGTTAGAACATTTATAACTGCGATGTGTCATCATAAATATGCATTCTTCTTATTTTAAGATGTTTCCGTTCTAAAAGCATGAGTACTTCTGTTGTTATCGGTGAATTTTTTTTTTATAGTGAAGACCTTTTTTAATGGCAATATGTATTTAAAACAGACGTAAAAATTGGCATTCACCCACATATCCAGGGCCTGTGGAGAACCAGGTTGGGATGAGTGGGTGAGCTTTAGGCAGCCAGGTGGCTCCTGTGGGCTCTTCTAGGGCTGGTACTGGTAGCTTTCAATCTGCTGTGAATTTGGGGGAAATAAAGTCTGCATTTTAGCTGCTACCGCTTCTAAGTGTTGTTGTTCTTGTGGGTTCATAAATCTTTTTCCAGCGATTGCAATGCAAGTGGAACCTTACTCTTCCAATCGTCCAGTATCTGGTTGATTCTCCACTCCGTGCAAGATGTCATGTGAATGGGGGAGATTCCCAGATGACACAGAGCCCTTGTGGAGGGCATGTGGGTCACTGGCTCCCTCAGGGGTCTCTGGTGTGGGGTTCACTTAGTGCCGGGCAGAATCTTTACTGGGCCAGGCTGCGGCCTCTGCAGATATGTGCAGATGCTTAATGTCTCACTTGACTAGAGCTTTCTTCTAATTCTGGACCAAAAGCAAACAGGAGTTTGGAGGAGGATGGAGAGAATTCACATCCCAAAATTGGCTTCTGGAATGCAGTAGTTGGAGAGATTTCGTATTTTTTTTTTTTTAAGATGTTTATTTGGATCTTGCCTCTTTCCAGAAAGGGTTTGAGACAACTTAAAACAAAAGGCATTTATAGCGTGGCACACAAAATGGGAAATCAGAGCAAAGGACAGGAAGAGAACCAAGTAAGAGTTAACATGACTGCAAAGATGATCAAAATGTGTCCCAGCTTCTCCCAGCCAGAGAGGGAGGGATCATGCAGCCAAGGGTGGGAAAGGAAGGCGCTTGACCGACAGTGGAGGACCTCCTTGGTGCCAGGCACAGTACTGCGAGGCAATATGGTCTCACCTCATTTTACAGCGGGCAAAACTGAAGGGCAGAGAGCTGAAGTCACCAGGCTGCGGTTTGAAGCCACCTGGGCAAATCGGCCTCAGAGCTGCGTGTTGACTCAGAATATCACACTCAGTTATCATCAGAAGGAGGAAGGATTTCAGTTCCCTGGAGTGGAGGAAATTTTTTGCTAATCAAACATTTTACTTGAAGCTGTACTTTATATTCTGCTGTTTTTAAGATTTTATTTATTAGAGTAAGCATTGGGCAGTGGGGCGGGGGAGGGGCGCTGCGGGGAGCAGGGGGAGAGCGACAAGCAGACCCCTCCACTGAGCGCAGAGCCGGGTGCCGGGGCTCGATCTCACGACCCTGAGATCAGGACCTGAGCGGAAACCAAGAGTCGGACACTCAACCTACAGAGCCACCCAGGTGCCCCTATATTCTTTTTCCAGATTTTTTTCCTGTGTATATATTAACAAATGTAATAATTTTCTTTTTATCACAAAAAGGAGGTTGTAGTTTGTCCTGTATAGGATGTCACTTTGTATTATCATGGGCAGCTTTCCGTGGCAGTATGAATAGACTGACTCTGTTCATTTTTAATATCTACATCTTCTCCCATTATTTAGATGCATCATATTTCAGCAGTTTCTTTTTTTAAATTTTTTTATTGTTCTGTTAATCACCATACATTACATCATTAGTTTTTGATGTAGGGTTCCATGATTCATTGTTTGTGCATAACACCCAGAGCTCCACGCAGAACGTGCCCTCTTTAATACCCATCACCGGGCTAACCCATCCCCCCACCCCCCTCCCCTCTAGAACCCTCAGTTTGTTTTTCAGAGTCCATCGTCTCTCATGGTTCGTCTCCCCCTCCGACTTACTCCCCTTCATTCTTCCCCTCCTGCTAACTTCTTCTTTTTCTTTTTCTTAACATATGTTGCGTTATTTGTTTCAGAAGTACAGATCTGTGATTCAACAGTCTTGCACAATTCACAGCGCTCACTATAGCACACACCCTCCCCAATGTCTATCACCCAGCCACCCCATCCCTCCCACCCCCCACCACTCAGCAACCCTCAGTTTGTTTCCTGAGATTAAGAATTCCTCATATCAGTGAGGTCATGTGATACGTGTCTTTCTCTGATTGACTTATTTCACTCAGCATAACACCCTCCAGTTCCATCCACGTCGTTGCAAATGGCAAGATCTCACTCCTTTTGATGGCTGCATAATATTCCATTGTGTATATCTACCACGTCTTCTTTATCCATTCATCTGTTGATGGACATCTTGTCAGCAGTTTCTTAATGCTGGATGTTTGGGGGATTTCCAGGCTTTTCCTCCCCTGTGTTACAAACAGTGCTACAGTGAATCTATGTATCTATCGATCTATAAACTACTATAAGTTGCTGTAGGGGCGCCTGGGTGGCTTAGTTGTTTAAGTGACTGCCTTCGGCTCAGGTCATGATCCTGGAGTCCCGGGATCAAGTCCCACATTGGGCTCCCTGCTCAGCAGGGAGTCTGCTTCTCCCTCTGACCCAACCCCCTCTTATGCTCTCTCTCTCTCTATCTCGTTCTCTCTCTCAAATAAATAAATAAAATCTTAAAAAAAAAGGTTCCTGTAAAATAAATTGTCAGAAATGGAATCATGAGGTCAGAGAGTGTATGTTCACATTTAAATTTTTCATAGAAGTGGTCAGATGACTGTTGCAGGAAAAGACTGTATCATATTTATTGTGCGCCTCCTCTAGTCTGCTGGGTGCTGAGAGAAATGCAAAAAGGATGCTGGAGGGTTTGTTGCCCTCTAGCAATTTCCATCTACACTGTGTACCTAATCCTAGGGAATGTCTGGGGTGTCGACTTGGGTGGGTGGGTGGGTGAGTGGGTGGATTTAATTCAACTTTTCAAGCTTGCCTTGCAAACATTGTGCATGGTGTCTGGGACTAGTCTTTCATTATATTGATTCTCTTGGGTATCGGATGTAATTTCCTTAGGGCAGGGACCTCATCCTATGTGACTTACGATGATATGTCTCCCACATCTTAGTTGCTTTGTGGAGACATTGTAATTATAACGCGTCAGGTAGTATTTGAGGCTCTGATTGAGATGTTCCCTTTTTTGGGGTGTATGAAGAATTAATAACTTTGGCATTTTATGCAGGTCATGGAATATCAGCCTGGAGGGGACTTGCTGTCACTTTTGAATAGATATGAGGACCAGTTAGATGAAAATATGATTCAATTTTACCTAGCCGAACTGATTTTGGCTGTTCACAGCATTCATCAGATGGGATATGTGCATCGGTAAGTGAGACTCTCTGGTAGTGTACTGAGAATTTATGTGTATCACCTAAGCATTCCCACAATAGAGTGAATAGATTAATAATTTCAGCATCAAAGTGATGCTCCATCCAAATTTTAACCAGTCCTAACTGCAACCAGCTGAAAGTCTATTTTCCAGAGTGGCAGACATTTCAGCTTTACCCATTCAACAGTGACATAGATCTAGAATTACAGAGTTCTCAAGTTTGCTAATAAGATCTGTGACTGTGGCTGATAAGACTGAGAACTCTCGCATGGGTTCCTTGAGTTATATGGTAGAAAAACCGCATTCGACTTGCCGAAGGACCCTGCATCATCACATGGGAGCGGAAGACCATGGAGTTGTACTTCTGACCTCACCCATTAGTGATTTACACAGGTGTTCCAGCAAATCCTCAGTTGAAAAGCGTCTCTTTACATCCTCACGCATATGATGTTTTGTGTACATCCAAGAATGTTGTTCCCTTCCTCTCCCTCCCCACTTTTCTTTTTCCTTCCCCTTCCCTTTCTCTTCCTCCTTCTCTTCCTCCTCTTCCTGCTTCTCCTTCTTCTTTTTCTTACTTAGTTTTGCAGAATGTTTGCTTATTATTTATATCTATCAATAGGGAGGTCTATATAGCAGAGTTTAGACACTGAGCTTGTTGGCTGAATCAATATCCTACGTTAGCAGTTGCTTGCTGATTTGCATGGAGGAAACAACACTAATTTGTGGCTCTGATTTTCTTAGAGACATCAAGCCTGAGAACATTCTCATTGACCGAACAGGACACATCAAGCTTGTGGATTTTGGATCAGCGGCTAAAATGAACTCAAATAAGATGGTAACATCATGGAATGAGATAGCTTAATAGAGATTATGCTACAGAGTGTTCTGTGGTCCTCATAAGTTTGGAGAATATGGGATAACTTTGAGTGACATTTTGGAATCTTCAACTGCCGGTGTAGGGCATGATTTCTCTGAAGGTGGTGGTGGGGATTGGGGACATAGAGCTATTTCCCAGACTTGCTTGACCTTGGCACCCTATCTGTTAATACCCTACAAAACATTTTTAGGAACATCCTTATGGTTTGGTTAAAACATAAAAGGGAAAATGGTCGTTTTTGTTTCTCTTCTCATTTTCCTTATTATAGATTGTCTTCTGTAATCTTATTTGTCTCACATCTCTATTTTCTATTCAGCAAAATTGAAAGAAATCACTGGCACATTTGAACCAAATAACCTTTAGCATTAAGAACCAACTGCTCAAAATGTCATTTCGAAGTCCTGGACCTCTGGTAAACATTAAGCTGTATTCCCCGTGCTAAATAGGAAGGCCAGAGGGTACCTGCCGAGATCAAGAGCAAGAATACTTGAGGAAAAAGATGACAAAGTAAAAAAAAAAAAAAAAATCTATATATAGATTTAAAAACAAACCCTAATAAAATTGGTACAGACTAAAGTGAATTTTCATGTCATCTGTGCAAAAAACTGGTGCGTCTAAGAGAAAATCAACTTAGATTTTAAGACTTATTTTACAACTAACCCATTCAGTGACCTGGACAAATTTTTAGGAACTTGGCCTTTCATTCTTTCTCAGTAGAGTACTGATTCTAGTTAAAATGCACAAGTTAAGGGGCGCCTGGGTGGCTCAGTCGGTTAAGTGTCTGCCTTTGGCTCAGGTCATGGTCCCAGGGTCCTGGGATGGAGCCCCGCGTGGGGCTCTCTGCAGGAAGCCTGCTTCTCCCTCTACTGCTGTTCCCCCCTTCTTGTGCTCTCTTTCTCCCTCTTTTTCTGTCAAAATAAATAAATGAGTAAATAAAATAAAATTCAAAATGCACAAGTTAAGAGGTTAGGGAGGTTACTCTGTAAAATGCCCCCCCTTTCTAACCTCTGAGAGTTAAGTCCTTATAAAGGGAAATACGTAAAATTGTGTTTTTTTCCTCAAGTTCCTTGGAGGAAAGGTGGGTGTTATCAGGTTGATATTAGGAAAAGGTGTGGGGTTATGTTAGGCAGACCTGAGGCCTACTTGAGATAATTTACTTGGTGTTCAGATCCTTGGAAAAACAATCTCTCTAGGTGCTCTTTCCCCGCTCCCCGCCAAATCATGTTCTTGTAATCGACTCCACCTGATCATTACAATGAAATTTAGATTATAGGATCATGATAAGCATTTCATGTTTTTAAAAATTACCTGCCGAAACAGGCATGAAAACTTAGTTGTTGAATTTAGTGGAATAAAGCACAGGAAAAAAGTTAAGTAATGGAAAATTTTATCATATTGGACTCAAAAACTTGTTCACTGAGTGAACTCATGCATCTAGAAATAAACTGAAGCATAGATACATGGTCTAATAGTTGAAGTGTAGATACATAGTCAGCTCTGGATACCATAGACATTGACCATTGATATTTTGCCCTGGATAATTCTTTATTGTGGGGGGCTATCTTGTGTATTATAGGATATTTAGCTACATTCCTGGCTTCCATCCACCAGATGCCAATAACACTCTCTCCTCCAGTTATGAAAACCAGAAATGTCTCCTGGCATTGCTGCGTGTTCCATGGGGGACAAAATCACCCCTGGTTGAGAACCATCCCAAGTTGATTGAGAAACAGCAGACAGCTTATTAATGAGAGCCAGCACTAGGTATTTGCAACAAGAAAACCTACTTGGGGAAAACTAGATTATGATCCAAAGTCACTGCTTGGTAAACAAATGGGAATAAAGAGTAAGGCCCCATCTCTGCATCTGGAATCGCTCACTCTCTTCTGAGCCCCAAGTAGAGAGACTGGACTTTCCTTCATTTCAGGTTTCTGTTTCTCAGTGCTTCAGACTATCCCTTTTCAGTTCTTCTAATTGGAACAACCTTTACTTCAGGCGCAGAGCCCTTCAGAGTCACTCAGGTTCATTTGCAGCTCAGTGCTCAACCCCTGATTATTCTGGTGAAGGAGATAAGGCACTCAGTCCTGCATACTTGAGAGTAGTACACCTCCTCTTCTCTTAGAGAAAGAATTGCCTCTTCAGAACTTTGTGCTTTTAAGGGCCAGAATGTGAAAAACACATAGGAAGGAATTTTTAGCATTGTTTTAAGTGAAAACGCCTTTAATTATAGAAGACCGATAATCTACAATCTAGATGAAGTCAAGTATGGGTATAGAAATACTTTTCTTTTGTATTTTTGATCAGTGGAGGTGGGTTAAACATTTTTTTTTTTAAGATTTTATTTGAGAGAGAGAGAGTGCGCAGGGGGAAGAGGAGAGGGGGAGGGAGGTGGAGGGTGAGAGAATCTCAAGCAGACTGAACTGAGCATGGAGCCCTTTGCCCAGTGTGGGGCTCAGTATCACGACCCTGAGATCATGACCTGAGCCAAAACCAAGAGTCAGACGCTCAACTGACTGAGCCACCCAGGCATCCCAACATGTGTTTCTTTTAAATAGAATGTTTTATGGGCCTAAAGGACATTCTAAGTGTTTTTTGTACTCAAAATATATGAAATATAATCTACGTTTACTGAAATCCATGTATGCTACTCACCTAAAATCAATTCTTTCCCCTACCACTCTCAAATATTATTTACGAATTTTTAGATATTTGTGACTTTTAGGTCTGTTGGGTTTTCCATCTTCCATTGTCATTATTTCAAGCTTCTTGGTGTGTTGCTTTGAAGTATTCTTACTAACAGTGGGGAACCATACTGCCTAGAGGTTTGGGTGTTGAGCTGAGACATGCCATCCACCTGCTGTGTGCCCTTAGGCTACCCATTTCACCTTATTAGAATCTCAGAGTGGCAAATAGCAAATTCTTCCAACCTGTCTCATTCAGCTCTCACACAAACACTTGTAAGGAGATTGATTGTAAATAAAGAGCAGTATAGCATGTTAAGTGTTAATCAGCCTCATTGAGCAGTTGAAAATCTATAGGAGATAGCCTTTTTTGACATTTACATAGGAGTGAGAAGATTTTATGCTTTTCCCCCAAGAGGAACAACAGTGAGATACCATTCTCCCCCTACCCCCCCCCCCCCGCCCCAACCCCCAATCCCACCCCTGCTTCTGCAGGTGGATGTTTCTGCCCTGCGTAGCCACATGGGGAAATTTAGGTTGAAAAAGTTTTATGTTTAAGCATTTTATGGGAAGAGGATTGGGAGGAGACAGACAGTGGTTTTCTTACTTTCTTCTCATGTTTGTTAAAGGAATCTAAGTTAATGCTTTTTTGTTTCTTTTCTTAACCTCTCTATCTCCTGAAATATGACTCCGTCTTCTGTCTCCTAGTCATTTTGTTATTGTCTCCTGCTGAACTGGTGTATTTTCTTCCCTGTCAATACAGTGAAAATTAACTAAAATTTAGTAAAACTTTTCAGATGGTGCCCTGTACATGGCTCCGCTTTTAATATCTTACCCAGATTAGCTGGCCGTGAATTGCCACCAGAGGAGAGTGAAAGCATCCTGCAAAATCCTTATCAGGATGCGAGACATTAAGTGTTGAATGGGTTTAATGTGCTTGGAGGTCAGTAACTAATGGAAATTTAGCAGTCATTAAATTGTCATTAAAAACCTTTGTAAGTTACTATTAAGTACCTAATGTACTTTATGCAGGAGATGTGCATAAAGGAAGCTAGGGATATTTTCCCTTAAAATTTAGAAAATTACAAAGTGATTAGACGCAAATGTGTATAATCACATGCCTGTTGTGGGGCAGGAATTAGGGAATTATCTGACTCTCTTGGATAAGTCTCATCATGAGTCTGAAAATGAGGCATTGATGACTTACACCCCTCGCTGGGTCATGCTGATAAACACAACCCAGTCAAGTTCCTTTCAACTCTGTGCTGGTGAACAAGTGACTAAGCCCTGTGCACTGCAAACAAGGAGAACTGAATGTTCCCAAACAGTCTAGTGTGATGATAAAATAAAACCCACCAAGTGCAAAGATGCATATTTGAGGATTGCGTAGTAATAGTTCTGCAAGGTAATTAGGCATAAGGGGTAAGCATTTAATGATGACATTAGTTTTTCTTCTCGTTTTCATATTTAAAAAAATATTGTCAGTATTGAGGGTTTTTACCAAAAACCTGTAGTTTAATCCTAGTCCCGTGCTGAGCTCATTAACATTTACACACACATTAAAAGATAGAAGTCTTAGCACAGGCTCCCCAGCATCAAGGCTTTCCCTTGCCTTAAGCTGCTTTCAGTTTCTCAAGTTTAAGGTGCCCTGTCTTAGACCAGATATCGTCTCCTTTCTCCCCACTTTTATCTATCAGCAATGGCTTGTGGCTTTCTTGGGCAGTGTGACCATCTAGCTTTCCCCAGTGGGTACTTGCAGTGAAAATTCTTTTTTTTTTTTGTAAAGATTTTATTTTATTTTATTTTTTAAAGTAATCTCTACACCCACTATGGGGCTTGAATTCACAACCCCCGAGATCAAGAGGGGCATGCTCCACTGAGTTGGCCAGGCACCCCTCAGTGGAAAGCAGTGGATGCCTGGCATCAAGAATACCAGTATCACACTGTTGTCCAGATTTAGGGTTTGGGAAAAACCTACGGTGGGCTTGAGAGAAGGGGTGAAAAGAGAAGGAGTAGGGAGAATGGGTCTGTTTCCTACAACTGTGGATCTGTGGGGCAGAGGGATGGACAGGATTAAAGTTACAGGCTTGAAGAGCTTGAGGCTCCATCCCTAGGGAAGGGATATAAAGCCCAGCCTTAAAGATGTGTGGCCATATCTATAAAATCTCTAACGTCTCTCAGGGACACTCAACATCCTTTAATGGGGAGAAGATTCTTTTGTGCCCATGTAACTGCTCAGGTGAGAGAAGCCTTTTTAAAGGCAGGATTATTGGACAACTGTAGGATTATTGGTTAACACAGATATGACTAACATCAGGCCCTTTCTGTTTTGATGGGGAAGAAGTCAGAGAGGTGATCCTTAGCCTTTAAATTTCATGGATCAGTAAGACTTCACAACAATTTTCAAGACTGAAAGGGTTGCCGGCTTACTCTGTTGTCTAGGAAGGAGTGGGGTGGGAGGGGGACGGAAAACCTTTCATCAGCATCATTTCGAGAAACAAAGGACATGTAAACACTAAAACAGAAGGACAAATTCTTAGAAAAAAGGACAGTTCTTCAAATGGGATATATTTAGCTTTAGAAAAAGACCTACTACATTGTCCTAGCCTTTCTTTGCCAAGGTCAGGTGCTTCAGTGCCATTGGATTGGAGGGCTCTGGATTCCTGAATAGTGGAGAGGGAACCACAGGGCCAGGGGTTGGGGGTGAGGAAAATGGACCCATTAGCATTGGCCCTCTGGTGGGAGATACTTATCATGTCTTTCCCTGTGGGTGGTTTGAAGTAGGAATGTTGATTCTAGACATTTAAACTTGAAATACAATGAGTTTGCAATATTGTTTTGCCCCAGCTAGCTGCCAGGTTTTCAATAATGGGTAGATTGATCTTAAAGATTCATCTTTAGGTTTCATTATCATTTTGCTGTTTTCATAAGAGAAGTTCTGTGTAACATGTGCTAGGAAAGACCTCTTCCGTTCTAGCTGTATACTCAACTCTTATTTGTGTAACCAAAGGGTGTATATCATCAACAACTCTTGCCCTTTTGCCTTTGGATTATATTATATACTTTTTTTTTTTTTAATTAGTAAATCGTTTGCATTTCCTGACAGCGTGCCACTTGACAGAAGGTTTAATTGCCTGGGAGAATAGTAATCAGTGGCAAATCAGCTTGTGTCTGAAATGTGGCTGTTGGGCAAACTATTTGAGAATAATTGAAAGTTTGCTGTGTTCATTTCATTTATGGGTTTCCAGGTGAATGCCAGACTCCCGATTGGGACTCCAGATTACATGGCCCCTGAAGTGTTGACCGTGATGAATGGGGATGGGAAAGGCACCTACAGTCTCGACTGTGACTGGTGGTCGGTGGGAGTGGTCGCCTATGAAATGGTTTATGGAAGGTCCCCGTTTACTGAGGGAACCTCAGCCAGAACCTTCAGTAACATCATGAATTTCCAGGTAAAGAGCCGGTCGGAGGTTCTGGAGTAATACCGAGAGCTGTCGTTTAAAAATGTGCGAGTGAACATTTGTGATGTAAATCAGCAGTGCCCGGATAATAACAATAGCTAATACTTAATAAAGCACCTTGTGCTAAAAGCTGCTCTAAACGCTTTAGTAATTGTGTTTCATTGACTCGCAGCTGCCAGTCATTGTAAGCCTGTGCCATTATTTTAGGTCCCGTTAAAAAAGAAATCTCTTGCCAATTAATCTATCATATTTCATTGATTATAAAATGCATTTTGATTTCAGTGCTGTTGTGGGAGTAACTGAGTCTTAGACTTGAAATATAGTTCATTAACTTGGCTAATCCTCAAACAATGTGAGAGGTCGATATTCTTTTCCTTTTACAGATGAGGAAACCAAATCCCAAAATGTTTAAGTAACTTGCCTAGAATGTCTGGCTTTGAGTCCTTTCCTTTGACAGATATTCTGCTGGGCTCTTTCTCAGTACTCCTAGCTGTCGAATATGATCGTAAAATCGAAGGGGGATAGGAATTAGAATTATGGCAATATATATGAAGTAGAATTAAAGCCATTCTCTAATAACTGTACGTTCCAGTATGTTAAACCCATTTCTTAAGGATATGATAAATATGTATGTTTTAGTTTCAACTGAAAGGAAAAAGGAGAAACTTCACAGGTTTTTCTAACTCACTCAATCTCATCTTTCCGGAATGCTTAGTACATATTTTCATATGTATAATACATATTTCATATGCTTAATACATACATATATTCCTTGTTATTCTTGAGTCTCCTCTGGAGTGAAAGTTTTCCCTTAGATGATTTTTGGGGCCAATTTATCTCCTTCATTTCAGTCTGCTCAATCAGTAATGAGTGAATTGTGCTCGGCCCGGTTAGGTACTGGGTTTATAGTGATGAGCAAGGAGAAGGCTCTCTCTGCCTTCTCTCCCTGTTATCACATAGAAATCACAGTGTACTGTGTGCAGAAGTAGATTACAGAGGGAGCATGGGGAGGGGCAGTGATCGGGTGGAAGAGGGGCATGGGATGGGGAGGGCGTTCTAGGCAGAGAGAACAGCATGATTTGTTCAGGCAGCTTTAAATAGCTCATCATTGTTGGACAGCAAAGAGCGAAATGGGGAGTGGAGCTACAAGAGACAGAGGAGCAGGGTCAAATCATGAAGGATATTGAATCCTTGTAAAGGAATGGGACCCATTGATGTGAACAGGCCATTTATTTTGGGAATATGCCTTTGGTCCAAAGTTAAGAGGGCACAAAACTTCCTTCTTTTAAAAGAAAAAAAAGGGAGAGAGAGAAACTTGCATATATGAGAAATACTTTAACTTTGGAACATCAGAAGCTGAATCTGCTAAGGAAATGCTTATTTTATTTTATTTTTTTGGAATAGCGGTTTTTGAAGTTTCCTGATGACCCCAAAGTTAGCGGTGAATTACTTGATCTGATTCAGAGTTTGCTGTGTGGCCAGAAAGAGAGACTGAAGTTTGAAGGCCTTTGCTGCCACCCTTTCTTCTCTAAAATTGACTGGAATAACATCCGTAACTGTAAGTAGAGCCGCAGTCCTTCACTTCTGGCGTTGGAATTAAGTGTAAACACTTAAGAATGATTGGAAATTATCCTGACCCACAGAAGGTGGTATAAATTATATAAATAAGGGCCTTAATTATCTACAGGGGATAGAAAAGGCTAATGACAGAGCTGTCGGTAAGTGATAATTCTTCTTTAAAATTGTTTGCACAGAACAGGGTCATTTATCAAACTCTGGGCTTATGTGGCCTTCTGAACATCATCCCTCAGTAAGTTAGAGGTATGGATTGATGGAGTTCAAGGGTTGTCACTTGCTTTGACAAGAGTTTCTTCTCAGAGGAAAAGCAGACCTAGGTAAATCCTTCACAGATTAGGAAAAAAGACTCAGAAATGAGGCAAAGCGCCACGTTGCTCTGTGAATGGCCAAGTTTGCACAGAAACCGTAAATGTCTCTCTGGGTTCGTTTGTTCTCCTCTAGAATATTTGTCTTTGTTCACAAGCTTGTAAAATCTATCACGTAAATGCACAGTGGAGTCATTCCTTCATACATACGTCACTCTGGGATCAATTAGTGCAAACGGAATTCATTAAAAACAGAGACCTGATTTATTATCAACCAAAACCAAAATGCTTGGTTTTTTTACAAATTGGTGATTTTTTTATTTTTGGATGTGTTGTTGATTGAATGTGACCCAGTGATTAGCACAGAGGAGAGCCAGTGGGAAAGCAGTTGGTCTGTGTGAGTGTTTTATTTTCGGTGATGAGGGGAAGTGGGGAGTGGAATCCATTTCTAAGGTGTCAGCACCAGGCTTCTAGCTGGAGCCATGTCGTTGTAATGTAGGAGTTGGTTTAAGATCCAGCGTTGTCCAGTTGAAAGCCATTGTGATGGTTTCTCTAACCTGCCCAAATATTTAAATAGGCTACATTTTTGTAAATATTTCTTAGCAAATTTTTTTTCTTCTGGTAGGGACATTGCTTACTTTTTCTAACCTTCATGTATCAACTCCCAAATCTCCAAGGTTCGGGGCTTTTAATTAACAGTATATTTTCAGGGCTGTCTTCTTTTTTCACTTTTAGAAAGATTTGATACAGTTTCCTATAGATGCTATTCATATACTCAATCTTTTCTTGACTTGCCTTTGTGTCTCTGTAGTCTCCTTGAATGAGCAGTTAATTTTTCTATATATGCACTTGCCGACTGTATCTTAACAACCTGTCTCCACTCAAGTGAGCCAGTGAGTGGTGATGAATTACCCAAGTAACTTTATTTTGAGTTTTGGTTTACCTTGATGTTGTTTTTGGTATGGTGTCAGAATTCCCAGATTTTGTCCTAGTCTTTTTCTTTTTTTAAAGATTTTATTTATTTATTTATTTGAGAGAGAGAATGAGATAGAACATGAGCGGGGGAGGGTCAGAGGGAGAAGCAGGCCCCTTGCCGAGCAGGGAGCCCGATGCGGGACTCAATCCCGGGACTCCAGGATCATGACCTGAGCCGAAGGCAGTCGCTTAACCAACTGAGCCACCCAGGCGCCCCCTAGTCTTTTTCTTCCAGGCTGTTTTATAGGCTCTAGGCTTATTGGGCTTACAAGTGTTAACTCCTGTTCTGTAAATTACATAGTGCTCGTAAAGGATACACGTCAGGGTAGATTGTGGCCCATGCCGTCCATCCCAAGGCCCATCTTTTAAGGGTGCCTGGCTGACACAGTTGGTTAGTGTCTGACTCTTGGTTCTGGCTCAGGTCTGATCTCGGGGTCAGGAGATCGAGCCCCACATTGGGCTCTGTGCTCCGTGCGGAGTCTGCTTGGGTTTCTCTCTCCCTCTCTGTCTGCCCCTCCTCCTGCTATCTCTCTCTAAAATAAAATAAATAAAATCTTTAAACAAACATATAAAACAAGGCCCATCTTTTATTTATTTATTTTTATTTTATTATTATTTTTTCAAGATTTTATATATTTACCTGACAGAGAGAGACAGCGAGAGAGGGAACACAAGCAGGGGGAGTGGGAGAGGGAGAAGCAGGCTTTCCGCTGAGCAGGGAGCCCGATGTGGGGCCCGATCCCAGGACCCTAGGATCATGACCTGAGCCGAAGGCAGACACTTAACGACTGAGCCACCCAGGCGCCCCGGCCCATCTTTTAGAAGGTCCTGGTTTTCTTTGGGATGAGATGACTTTGTAATGGGTCACTGCAGTCTTGGGTCATCTTCACACTTGCTGCCCCCATACGTGCGACTCACCCTGCCTCCTGTGGCTATCTACTTAAAATTTCCATGTCTTAATACATACCCACTTAGTTTTTCCTTATTATTATTTTTTTTAAGAACTTATTTTTAAGCAATCTCTACACCCAGTGCAGGACTTGAACTCACAACCCCGAGACCAAGAACCGAGAGTCACACTCCACTGACTGAGCCAGCTAGGTGCCCAGTTTTTCCTTATTTTTAACACATGTGCATGTGTCATTCCCTCACTCCCCGCCATTTTGTATTAGGGAATTCTCATCCACCTGAATCCTGATTCTTTTTTTTTTTCCCGAGGTTATTTTTTTAAAGTAAAAATTGTAGGGTGCCTGGGGGGCTCAGTCGGTTAAGCGTCTGCCTTCAGCTCAGATCACGATCCCAGGGTCCTGGGATTGAGCCCCGCATCGGGCTCCCTCCTCGGCGCGGAGTCTGCTTCTCTGCCCCTCCCCCCTGACTTGTGCTCAAGTGTGCATGTGCTCTCTCTCCTTCTTGCAAAGATAAATAAATAAAATCTTAAAAAAAAACTTGAAAAAAGTAAAAATTGTATATATTTAAGGTGTACAACATGATTTGATGTACATATATATTATGAAATGATTACTATAGTCAAGCTAATGTTCATATCCATCTCCTCACATAGTTACCGTTTTTTTCCTTTTCTGTGTTGAGAGCACCTGTAATCTACTCTCTTAGCAAATTGCCAGCGTTCAATACGGTGTTATTAAACATAGTCATCGTGCTGTGTATTAGATTTACTTATTCATCCTATATAACTCCCAACTTTGTACCCTTTGACCACTATCTCCCCATCCTGCCCTGGTAGCCATCCTGCTCTCTGCTTCCATGCATTTAACTCTTAGATTTCACAGAAAAGTGAGATCATACAGTTTTTTCTCTTTCTGTGCCTATGTTATTTCCCTTAGCATGATGTCCTCCAGGTTCATCCATGTTATTGCAAATGGCAGGATTTCCTTCTTCTTTTTTAAGGCTGAGTGATATTACCGTGTGTGTGTGTGTGTGTGTGTGTGTGTGTGTGTATGTGTGTGTACCTGTGTGTACCACAACTTCTTTATCCACTCATCATTGATGGGTACTTAGATTGTTTCCATATCTTGGTTGTTGTGGATAATGCTACTGTGAACATGAGAGCACAGATAAATCTTCGAGGTACTGAGCTCATTTTCTTCGGGTGTACAACTAGAAGAGGGATTGCTGGATTCTGTGGTAGTTCTATTTTTAGTTTTTCAGCAACTAAAAATAGTTTAGTTTTTGTTTTCCATACTGGTTGTAACAGTTAACATTCCTACCAACAGTGTACAAAGATTCCCTTTACTCCACAACCTCGCCAACACTTGTCTCTTGGCTTTCCCCCCCGCCCCCAAAATAGGCTCCATGCTTGGCGTTGTGCCCAGTGTGGGGCCCAAATCTATGACCCCGAAGATTAAGACCTGAGCTGAGATCAGAGTCTGATGCTCAACCAACTGAGCCACCCAGGTACCCCTCTGTTGTCTTTTGGTTACTAGCCATCCTAACAGGTGTGAAGTGTTATCTCAGGGTGGTTTTGACTCGCATTTCCCTGATGATGAGTGATATTCAGCACCTTTTCAGATACCTGCTGGCCATCTGTATGTCTTCTTTAGACAAATGTCTTTTCATGTCCTTTGCCTTAAATCTTAATTCTTAAAAATCTTGGTGGTTTTTATGGACTTCCAACTCCCAGTATAGTGGCTTTGAAGTGTTATGAAATATGTTTGCTTTAAAAAAATTTCTTTTAATTTTAATAAACCTTTTACTTTGGAATAATAATAGATTTATAAAGAAGTTGCAAAGATAGTACAGAGAGTTCCCACATACCCTTCTTCTCCCAGTTTCCTCTAATGTTATAACATCTGACGTAACTATGCCACATTTGTCAAAACTAAGATTAATATTTGCACATTACTATTAATTTAACTTGAGACTTTATCCCGATTTCACCAGTTTCTCCACTCGTGTCTCTGTTCTGTTCCTGGAATCAGTCCAGGATACCATATTGCATTGAGAGTGTTTGCATCCAATGGGACTCTGCCTGGCTGAGATACTTGGTGTAGCTCAGCCAGTGGGTGGGATCTTCATGTCCACTGAGGACTGGTAGTGCATTTTCCTAGAGGTTCCGTGGCATCCCTGACTATGCAGAGAGCCACGGGATTCATTGAATTTCTCCTAGCAGATTTCCCAGTTTTTCACCAACCTCCAATCCCTGTGTATTTGCAGTCAACTCAGGGTTGTGTGATTGAAAACAGTGCTGGACTCCATGCTGTCTGAACTACTTTCTAACAACATAACTCTAACAGAAATTATGCCTTTGTCTGGTCCCATTTTTCATAAATGAACGTTGAGTGATTTTTATCATCCAAAAAACTTGAAGCCATTGGATTTCCTGAGTTTATGGTTGCTGCTCAAATGCCTATGGCTCCAGCATATCAAATATTTCCACTTTTCCACACACAAGATTGTCCCTTGATGAAAGCAACATTAGCCCCTCTGCTGCCTCACCCCTAATTCTTCTTTTCCTTGTTGTAACCAGTGAAAGGAAGTACTGCTTAACACAGCAGGTAATAATCTTCTAAAACTCATTATCTCAAGAGGTGGTCCTGGCAAGATATATAAATGCAGTTTAAGAAGGGTCTGGGCAAATTTCTGAATGACAGAATTGGGAGTGTCTGCTGAGGGGGAATCAGGACATGCCTTGGCTTTGACACTGAGGTCAGACGGAACATCTGTGTCCTCCTGCGTCCAG